TTTTTTTCATTTTCAAATCTGGTTACATATATTTTATATATGCATATATAGACACATGTATAACAAAATATATATTGTATAAACATAAAACTTAAATTTCCACATCTCTGGTAGTTTTTGAGGTGCCTACTGTAAAGTATCACTTACAAAGATATGTGTTTTTTTAAAATGCGTCTTTCAGTCTGGTTTAAGTTGCAGTTATTGCACTGATAGCCAGAAAATAATTACTGGCAAAATGCACAGTAGAAAACATAGTGACTGAGGTCTTTTAAGGGAACATGATACAGGTTTCATAAGTTTTGTTTATGAAAAAGAATGGTAGCCATCACTTTATTTTTTAAAATTAGATGATTTTGAAATTCCATACTTTTCAACTTGTACAATATGGTTAGGGAGGGAGGAATACTCAAGTTTTGTATCATTAAATCAGTAAATATTAGTAAATTATATAAAGGCTGTTATTTAATATGAACAGATTAATTAACTATAGTATCTCATTTTACATAACAGCTCTGCTTTCTGAAGTATTTGGCCTGTATTCTTATTTTATCACATTTTTCTTTTTAAGATTTCTCCAGGGAGTTTTGGTAGAGTTCTATAAATTAACTTATGCAGATGCCAAAAAAGAATTTACAAGTCTTTCTAGTGAAATTACTTGAGGATTCCACATATTAATGAAGTACCCTTTTCAAATAATTTTGAGCATTCTGGCTTTCGAAAAATAATTTGAAGACAAAAAACTTGCAGATACTTTAGTAAATTAGGTAATAACTTTTCAAGAACTAAACCTCAACAGTAATCCATATGTGTAACAATTTAGAGGGAAATATTTGCAAACGTGTTTTAGTGAAAGAAAAATGTACAACTGTGTGCCATATAACAATATTTCAGACAGCAAACTACATATACAATAGTGATTCCATAGGATTATAATGGAGCTGAAAAGTTTTTGTTGCCTAGTAACGTCATAGTTTTCATAATTTCACAGCACAATACATTACATGTTTTGGTGATGCTGGTGTTTATAAAGTTGTATACAATAATGTCCTAGGCCTTCACATCATTCACCACTCACTCCTGATTCACCCAGAGCCACCTCCAGTCCTGCAAGCTCCATTCATGGTAAGAGCCATATACAGGTGTACCATTTTCTATCTTTTACACCCTATTTTTACCAGTAAGCTAGGAAAATTCCTGGGCCAGTAGTGTGGGGAAACTGAGACAAGATAATCAAAGAAAGCCAACAATTTGATCTTATTGACAATAGTGAATTGCAAGACCTTTTCTTCCCTAACCAATAACATTTGAGAGCAAATGGTTTATACCTGTCCGCCCTGAGAATACATAAATTAAATCACCCTGGTCCTGGGAAGTAGAGGACAGACCCCAATTAGTGCAGTTTGTGCTAGTCAAATCCAAGAATGGATGAAGTTGGGGAACAAATAACAAAAAAGACAATTGGAGCCACACAGACCCAAAGTGTAAAACAGTAAAGCAGACCAAAGAATGACCCCTAACTCCCTTTTATGTTCATTTTGATGCATTGGCATATTAAAAATGTCCCTGGAAAGTTCATAAATATTCTGCTGGGACCTCCCCTAGAATTCCCTCCTGCAGAAGTCTGATGATGACAGTCATACCAATTCTTGCCAAGGACCTAAAGGGTCATGATTTTCCAGGAGGAACAGGCTCCTATGCTGAAAAGGGAAATTAGTTCTGAAATGGGAAGAATTCCATCCATAGCCAGTAGGGTCTGGAATCAGCCATGCACACCCATTTCCTGGCCTTTGTCATGCCCCCTAGAGTGTTGACAGGTTTCACGCTGGCTTCCTTTCTTGGAGCTCCCTCTCTGGTCCAGCTGCAGGAGTGGTTTGTAACGTGACATAACTAGGTTGGCCCACTGGGACTTCAGTGACCTAATCCACAGTTTGTAGCCCTTGCTTCACAGAAGTTTAGTTACTCAAGTCCCAGAATACGTTGCAGCCCATTTTTCTGCAATACCAGTCTCAGCAGCACTTGACCTGAGGGAAACTAGAAATTCAGTTAGCTAGATTGTTGGCCCCCGAAGATTGCCGTCATCTTAAAGGTTCATAAATTATATACATGCTATTTTATCCCAGTATTTTGTGGATTATTAAATTCAGTTCTCAGATTTCAGCATTTGCTTATCTTTATGAAGATCAAACTAATATTTCTCTTCTTTCAGTTCATGATACTTCAACATATTCTTAAATACAAAAGGAGGTAATGTGATCTAAGCCCTGGGCTATAACCCATTGAGACTTATGAATCAGCAAGGAATATACAAGTTGTCCATGATGTGAAATAAAAGGATGCTTGGGTAACATTGTTCATACCAGAGATCAAATAAAAACAGCCACATATCTTTCAGTAGGGGGTTGGGATGTAACCAATATGTGTTGACTGCTTAATTCATGCCAAGAAAAGTTTAAGAACTAAAGGTATTATTAAACGTATTGCTTTTTGTCTCACAACAGTCATAAAGGAGTACAAAGACAATTACTGCAGTTTTACAGATGGGAGAAACAGCAACCAAGTTAAATAGTGAATGTCAAGCTCTCAGGGGCTGTTGCTTACACCAAGCTTCACTGTGGTGTTGGTTCTGCAACCCTTTCCATTTCATCGTTTATGTAACAGCAATACTGACTGATACACTTCATTTGTAACATTAAAACCTAATTTCCATTTTCTATCAGAGTCTGTGCCAGTGAACCCTGAATGGTTTTTGTGGCCTCTGAAGTAGAAGCTTATGTTCCAGGAGCTGTGAATTTAGCATGGGGTAAATAAACCAAGAAGATCAAGATGCACATCTCAGGAGAAGCCTGGGACTATCAGAGCCCGTCAATCTTCAGAAAGAACTGTGGCAGACACTGCAGTGTGTTCCCCTTATGCTGTTTTTCTTTTTTCCTGGGCACATAGCTGATGAAATTGCCCGGCACATGGCTAATATGCATCCCTGTTAAGTGAGCAGAAACATCACACATGACTTCCAGGTCAGCCTCTGAGGTATCCATGAGTAATGCTTCATACTCCTTTCACTTCTGACTAGATGCAGGCAGGCCAAGAGAACTTGCCATCTACCCACTAGGCACACATGGCTACAAATTGGAAGGATCTGAACTCCCTGAATCACAGCTTGAAGGACACAACTAATGCTCTCCAAATGAACAAAAAGATTTGTGGAGTTTTGGTTGGAATTATATAATCAGAGGAGAATTTACAACCTTGAATCATCTCATTCATGAACATAGTCTATAATAAAAAGAACAAAAACAGCTCACCCGTCTCTTCCACACACACACCCTAATCCCTTATCTCTGGCAACTACCAGTCTGTTCTCTGTATCTATGAGCTGTGTTTTTTAATTTAGATATTTTTAATATCCCACATATCAGAGATCATCTCTATGGATTAACTTGTCTTTTATAACTTTGCGTAGGTTTTTCCCCAAAATGTAAGTCTTGTATACTTTTTAGATTTATTCCTTGGACCTCTGTTGAAGTTTTCTTACCATTACAAATATAACCTTTAAAGAAAAAAAATTTTAAGTTGTCACTGGTGTATAGTGATGCAATCTAGTTTTTTTTTTAATCTTATATTGAGATCTAACTTGTATACCCTAAAATGAGCTCATTAAGGTGTACAGTTTGGAGAGTTTTACTAAATTTCTATAACTGTAGGACCATGACCACAATCCAGTTTTAGAGCATGCCTATCAGGGCAAGGTGTTCCCTAGTCCCCATATGTGGTCACTCCCCACTCCCAATACCAGGCCATCACTGCTCTGTTTTTGTATCTGTAGTGCTGTCTTTTCTAGAAAATTCCTATAGATGGAATCATGACTATGTAGTCTTCTCCTGGATTTTCTACATCATCATGTTGCCTCTGGAAAATTACAGTTTTGTTTCTTTCTAGTCCTCCTACCTTTCATTTCTTTTCATTCTCTTTAGTGGTTACCCTTAAAATGTTAACATATATGCTCACTTAATGTCTAATTGATCCAGAATAAACAGACATAAAAGAGCTTTAACCCTAATTATTCCTCTCCGGTGTTACATGACAAATGTGAACATAATGCAGACATTGAAACTTAGAACCATTGCTGGCTTAGCTTCACCCACACACTCACCAATTCTGTGTTCATCGCTGCTTTTGCATCTAGCTCCTTCATTCTGGGTCCAATCACTTCCAAAGTGTCTCTGTTTGTAAGCTCTTTATCTGAAAATGTCTTCATTTTCTCTTCATTCTTTTTTTTTAATGTTTTTACTGATTTTAGAGGGAGGAAGAGAAACATCAATCAGCTGCCTCTTGTGCGCCCCCTACTGAATCAGGCCCCAACCTGTGCATGTGCCCTGACCAGGAATCAAACCTGGGACCTCTTAGTTCCTGGGGCTATGCTCAACCACTGAACCACACCAGCCAGAGCTATCTTCATTTTTGAGTAGTGGGTGTAGAATTACTGGATATTACTTTGGTTTTTGTTTTAGCACTTGATTGTTCTGGTGGTTTTGCTCTTTGTTGAGAAGTCTGGGTTTTGTTGATCTAACTAGATTCTTTATCTTGTATTTCTGTTTGCTCCCTGGTTTCTTTTAAGAATTTTTCTTTGTATCTGAATTTTTTGCATTTTCATTGTGATACCTCTAGGTGTGAATCTTTATTCATCCTACTCAATACAACGTA